GGACTCAAGTTGCGCCATGAGAGGTTCAGGTTGGATATCAGGAAAACCTTCTTTACAGAAAGGGTTGTTAAGCTGGAATAAACTGGAATAGGCTCCCCAGGGAGGTGCTTTGAATCACTATCCCTGGATGTGTTTAAAATCTGTTTGGATGTGGTGCTCAGGGACATAATTTAGGGGAGGATTCTCAGAGTTAGTAGTATGGTAAGGTTCTGGTTGAACTTGATGATCTTGAAGGTCTTTTCCAACCTGAGCAATTCTATGATTCTATGATTCTAAGATTCCTGACAAGAAATGGGGTACTTGACAGGGACTGTATTCCTCCTTCCACAGGAAAATGGAGGCTCTGAACAAAAACATGCAACTACTGTAGCAGTATATATTACAAAGGGGAAGACATAAGAAAAGGAAAAAATGGAAAGGAGAAGATGAGTTATATTAAACCAACTCATTAAACAATTGAATAAATGCCAACAGAAGAAGACTACAGAATATTATTCTAAAAAAGAAATGAATTAAGAAAGTATTGATTTAACTTCATGTGTTATATGCAGACTTTTAACAGAGGAAGACTTTCAGTGGTATTTTAAATAGTTATTTTAAGTAGTTATTCTAAATAGTTAGACCTTTATCTAATATTCTGTGCTGCAATTCAGGACAATAATCATCACTGCTACCCTCACATTGTGGCTTACCTTACAGTCCTCTTTTTTAACCTCACCTGTTTCTCTTTTTAAAAAGTGGAGTAGAAAAACAAACAGTCCTCTAATCACTAACTTAGAAATTCTTAGCTTTGTCCAATAATTTTTACTGTCTTCAAGGTGGAAATACGGAAAATAAAGGATGTAGACAATAAATATGTTTTGTTTGTTTCTTGAAGTTGGCTTTGCTCTTTGGTGCAAAATACCCCATGTGGAAAAGTACGTGTTAACTAATTACTACACCAAAATATATTTAAATCAAATATTTGCTCTATTTATAATCATCTGTTATTTTTCCTGGAAATCTCCACATTTCCTTAAGGTCTACAATGCGCTCCTAAGCCATTTTACCACTGTTGCAACTTTTTTCAAGAGCAGTGTGGCTCTTGAAAAACTGCACAGTGGTTTAAGGCTCCAAAAGGCACTTCTGTGCATCCTTCTAGTCTTTGGTGAGTGCACAAGGCATTTCTCTCTGTAATTCTGGCACAGAGTCTTTGGCATTTTTTCCCCAAGTCTCACACAATAGGTATAGGTAGTAGGTATTCAAGTGCAAGGTTTAGCCCCACTGAGTGGATGGACTACTGTTTTTGCCCTTCCTTTCCTTCTCCTTAAGGAGGTAAGAAACTTCAGAGGGATCACATCTCTCTTTCCATAGGAAAATGGAGGTTATGTGCATGACACCATGCCACCCTATCCCAGTAAAACTTCAGTTTAACTTCCTCCATTCACTCATCCCAAACCCTGATAAAAATTGTCCTTCTGCTTCCCAAAAGAATTCAGCAGCAGAACCAGCTCTTCTATGCTGATTTGGGTTGCCTACTTGCAGCCCCAAGGAGACATTTCAAGCAGTGCTGGTAGCAGTCAGGAAGTGCCTCGGATAGAAGACGGAGATTCCAAAGCGACTCCCCAACATCTCTGCCTTTCTCCAGGCTGAGAAAAAGCATACTCTGATGCAAACACTCTCAAATTAAGTACTGTGAACAGGAAATCATGTCAGGATTGGTCTAAGCCATGCATTGCTAAGATTCAGGGAACATATTTTCAGGGTAAGGAGATTTTGGAAAGACTTGTCATTTTGCTCGATTGTGAATCCATTAATTACATATTTACAAAGGGAAAATGTACAGTTAGAAACTTCATTTTACAACAGAGACTGTGATTGAGACTAGACAAAAGCAAATGGTTAGCAGAGACATTCCAATTTTAATCTATACATCCACAATATTACTCTAACACTTTAGTGTTCCTTTTTTTTTTTTTAATATGATCTCTTTATAAAGCATTTATTCCTTAAGCAAACTAACACAAGTACTCAAGTTATCTCAGGATAGTTATTTTAAAAGTCAATGCAGTAATTCATAATAAACATAATGCTTTGTTTGTTTGTTTGTTTTTTGTTTTTTAAACAAAGTCATTCATCATATAAACAAATGAACCAGTCAGACATTAAATAAATATTCATACTGGTGGATACTAACTTTTTGCTTTGGACCTGATCCTGCAAGCCCTCTGTATACATCAATCCCCAGAGAATGATTGCTTTAATTTCTTGTTCTATTCTACTATTTTACTTTGAACTGAGCAAATAATTTCTGGCCTCTAAGTTAAAAAATTGAAATAAGCACCGGATTATACCTCAGCAGATGATTTCCTTACACATTTGTAATCATTATTTACATTATTTTCACTCATGTTTTCATTCATGTGCATGAAATGTGTAAGGAAACTTGGAGCAAAACACACAAAAGCAGGCAGAGGGCCTCAGAGAAGAATCTTCCTTTGAATAGGAAAGTATGTAGGGGGATCAAATGTACCCTCAGCAAATGTACGCTTGGTGATGATATAAAGCTGAGTAGTGCAGTTGACACAACGGAAGGGAGAGACACCACCCAGAGGGACCTGGACTCAAAAAGTCCAAGGCTTAAAAAGTGGGCACATGAGAACCTGATGAGATTCAACAATGCCAAGTGTAGGGTGTTGCACTTTAGTCAGGGCAATCCCAGATACAGACTCCCTAAGAGCAACCCCATGGAGAAGGCCTTACAGGTACTAGTAGATGGGAAGCTGGACATGAGCCAGCAGTGTGCTCCTGCAGCCTTGAAGGCCAACTGTATCCTGGAGTGCATCAACAGAGGGGTGACAGCAGAGAGAGAGAGGTGACTGTCCCCCTCTGCACTGCCCTTGTCAGGCTCCATCTGGAGCACTACATCCAGGCCTGGGACCCCCAGCACACAAGGGAAAAAGAGCTGTTGGAGCGAGTCCAGAGGAGGCCACAAAGATGCACAGATGGAGCACCTCTTTTAAGAAGAAGGTGTGAGAAGGCTGGGCTTGTCCAGCCTGAAGAAAAGAAGGCTCCAGGGACACCTAATTGCAGTCTTCCAGTGCTTGAAGGGAGTTTACAAGCAGGAGTGGGACCGACTTTTTACACAGTCCAGTAGTGATAGAACAAGGGGGAATGGCTTTAAACTAAAAGAGGGGAGATTCAGATCAGATTTTAGGAAGAATTTTTTTACTTGGAGGTCAGTGAGTCTCTGGCACAGGCTGCCCAGAGAAGCTGTGAATGCCCCCTCCATGGAGGTGCTCAAGGCCAGGCTAGATGAGGCACTGTGCAGCTTGATCTGGTGGCTAGTAATACTGCTCATGGCAGAGGGTTTGGAAGTAGGTGATCTTTTAAGGTCTCTTCCACCCATTCTATGATTCTATGATTCTATGAAATCATCACAAACATTTATCAGCAGGAATTCACTTTCCTGTTCCTTGCTCTTGGCTTTCTAATCAAACTAAGCAAGAGCTTTGCACTCATGCAGATTCAAAGAGAAGTCTGCAAGAATTCCTTCAAAACAAATATTTTTATTTTCTAATAATTTTATTTTCTCCAGACATTTGAGCCACTGATACTGGGCTAGAAATTTCCTGAAGAATGATAAGCAAGAAGCTCTCCTCTGGGAGGGCAGACATGCATGAGTTATCTGCTGTCATCTACTACAATTACTAGCTTTTCTGAGGCAATGCACCTGGCCTTCTTAAAAGCATATAAAAAGGCTATGGCCAGCCCTTTATTATCCAGTACACCGACTCCCCTTCAGGGAAGCCATTTTCCTCCAGAACAAGCCACTCATAAATAAGAGACATTAATTGACCTATGTATCCTCCTGGTGCCTTACGAAATTTTATCAGGATATCTTCACACAAATAGACTTGCCAATGAATTCCAACCCCTTGGTTGCTGTTTGAAAGGAAACACAGAGAGGATAGTGGGAGGGGGATCACTATGAAAAATATATTTAAGCATAAGAAAACTTCAACAATTGCTTACGTTTTGTTGTTGTTGTTTGTTTGTTTGTTTGTTTTCCAGTTGTCATGGTTTTATGATGTTTGGTTATCAGTATTCCACATCATAACATCATGTAGAGCACTGGGAGTTAAAATGCTAATGCTCCACGTCCGGGTACCTGTCCTGGAAGAGGAGAACTACTACATCCCCAGAGAACTACTTGCTGTTCTGTTATCATTTCCACTCAGCGGGAAAAGATAAAAGGACTTCTTAGGTTACCTGACGGCCCTTTCAATTGTCTGGCCTGTCTCTGTTGCGGGTGCTGTCTCACCACAGCATTAGAGTAAGAGCTTTGGCTTTCAGACACACTCTCTCATTTAATTTGATTTACTAGTTTCAACCGCATTTTATTATATTGTATTATGGTGTGTTATCTTGCATTCTGATATCTTATTTAGTAAAATAGTTTGTTTCTCCACAGATTGTTACTGCTCTTTTGTTTTTAGGCCCATTTCTCTCTCCTTTTCCCCTTTTCCCTTATACCTTTTGCGGGATGCAGGTCCCTGTGTCCCTCCACCCCGCTAGTAACAAGACCATGCCAAACCAGCCCGTAAACCTTTGACACCAATTCAATTTGAAATGCAGATTGAAATCTAGAGTACTGAGATCAGAATTACCCGATGTATTTAAGTTTGACTGAAGGTTGATGGTTTCTTGGATGTCTTTGAACTCTTACCACAGTATAATATGAAATGTTGCAAGTATGTGGTAAAAATAATTATAACAAATTCACTGCCTGAAATGAAAAAAAAGGAACATCTTTTAAAATGATTCTCTATGATTCTCTATACATATATATATAATATATACATATATATATATATATGTATATAGAGGGACATATACACACACACCGCACACACACATGCACATTTGTAGATCCCCATATAAACATTTCTTCAAAATACAAAAAGTTGGTTCCATTATTTCTTAAGTTGATATCATTTTAAATACTTTACTCCATAAATCAGTAATACGACAACATCAGGCTGTCCAGAGAGATAGATTTTAACACAGTCTTATAACCTCCACTAATATAAATATATTGGCAAGGAATTTTGACCAGCAATTATAAATTTTGAAACTTAAATAATTATCCTACAATTACTTTAATTTTAACAACAAATTGTTTCTGAGTACCAATATTCACAGAAAACATAAAAAAAAGATACAGCTTTAACTTCTAACGCTCTCTATCTAGTGCAGTTTATGAGAGGAATGTAAAAGAAAATTACATATTAGAGATCCATTCTAAAAAGAAACACCAACTTATATGTTTCAAAAAAAGAATGTTGTTTGCCTGCACTTTACCATAAATGACCATGTTATGTCATAGCTTCTTGTCTGCAAATGAAGGACATTGGTTCAGAAATCTCCTAAAATGTATATGAGGATTAGATTAAATTCCTTTCCTTGTGAAAATAAAGTTCATTTACACTTAGAGTGAAGAACATCGAGGAGTTTGTTACTCTAATAAGACGTTTAAGGTAACTTGGTAGCCAGTACCAGTTGCATTTGCAAGCAACTCCTCGGTTTTTCTTCCTTTTTAAAAATAAAGGTACAATCATAGTTATTCGCTTACTTTAAAAATTCTAAAGATGAAGAAAAGTAGTGTTTATACATATAAGTCCTCATATAAATTATAAAACTCAAGTTTATCTAACAAAGTTCCATCCCCAGAAGAAGCATAAAGCACTTTTGTGGTACCTTCACTTTAAATATTTGTATCACATCAAGTCTGAAAAATGCAACAAAGATGATACTGTATCCTAAAGCCAAAAAGAATAATCTTCTGATGTAGTCTCTTGTGATGGATGTGCTCCATGAGATTGTGTGATTGCCATGGTTTGATTGATTTTCAAATAAAAGAAATCTGAAAGAGTTCACCTAATCAGTTCAGTAGGTATAAGAAACATCAGTGAACAGCAGACTCATCTGGTTTGAGGTCAGCAGTCTTTGGAAGACAAAGAGAAGGGAGTTTAAAAATACAACATCAAAATAAAAAAATAATGAGGTAAACTCCCTTTAAAAGGCCAAATGGGTTGGGATGTCAGGAGACAGTTCGATTGTATCTGACACCCAAATATTTCTCTAGCCAGAGTTCAGCGAGCTGCATGGTTGAAGCAAATGTACTTGCTTTGGATCCTAAGCACATTTTGTATTGTTTTGGATCTAAACTGGGGTCACAATGAACTGGGTGAAAAATATGAACAACTCCTACTTCTTGACTTCTAAAAGCCTTCAAGCCTGATGTTATCACTTTAGTATAGAGGTCTACATCCTCAAGACCCCAGCCTTGAATTGAGGTATCAAATCCACCAGCAGTAAGTAGGTCACTTTTGTAAATACATGTAATTCCAAATCCATACTCCCTCCAAAATCCAGTTCTTTTTGTGAAAATAAAACTACTGTCAGCTGGAGGGTTGCCTCCATATATTACTTTTGGATCATACTGGCTGAAGATGATAGGGTAGTAAACCTGTTCTCCCTGAATAGTGTTTTCTCTGCATCTCTGTAGGAAGTCTGGTGTGAATATCAGATCAACGTCACAGAACAACAGCAAAGTGCCATTGTCAAATTGGGATGAAGCCATTTCAAGACCTAAACCTCTGGAAAACTTTCCTGCCATAGGAACCAGGGTCATATCTGCTTTAGGATACTTCATGCTATATTCTTTAAACAGCTCTATGTGTTTACTGGAATCCTGTCCTAACTCAGAACTGAAGAGAATTATTGCCAACTTTACATTCTGTCTGGGAATCAGACAAGTCTTCTCAAAGTTTTCCATAAATCTTGAGAAAATGTCAAATCTTCCTATAAGAGGGACAAGAATATGTATTTTCTTGTCACTGTGTCCCACAATGTCTTTGGTGCCTTGGAATGATGAAGAAAAAATCTTTAAAGAATTTGAAAGAAAAGAGAAAGATTGTGTGTCAGCATTGGTGTCCTCCAGCAGGCTTCTTACATCTAGTTCTTCTGCTTCTCTGAAGAAAGGTTTGCTGAACAGTTGCTGAAGGAAAGCATGACGTCTCACTGGAACTGTAACTTTCCTTCCTTTGTGCCTTTTGTACAAGAGCAGTAAATCCAGGATGTACTCCACCCCATGCATAGGATCCACCCTGCGGTATCCATATTGTATTTCCTTGAAATCAATCAGTCTTCCTCTAGACCTAGAGTTCTCATTTATCATTTCCATGACTTGCATCACAGTGTCATCTAGTGCAGCCCGCAGAACACTGCTCACACTCTGCCGGGGTGGTTGGCCCTCTACCATCGAGTAAAGAAATTTTCCTGTTAGAAATTCCCACTCGATGACTTCAGATCTTTCATGTGGCTGGAAATTATTGAAAGATGGTATCACTCCCAGTTGCTGATCTTCCTTCGTTACTTTGCTGTTACTAAGTTTGCTCATGAGGGCACGTTCCCTATGGAGAAGAATGGTTCGATAGCGCAGTTCGGAAATTTTGCGACTCAGTATGTAATTGTGCAGCCTATATTGGTAGGCTGGCCTTTTGTTTGGATGAAGTGTTATAGCTGTGTGAATTTTGCTGCTGTGAAGGTCTTGAATATAACCCATGCGGTTGTGTTCATAGTTCTCGTGGAACAATTGCTGCATCTAGAAAACAGAGAAAAAGAAAGACATTAACTAACAGACACTGCTTCTTCCTACAGAATGATCTACATTGGTACCGTTGGTCATTAGCAATTCTGACAGATCACAGCTGTCTTTAAGCACAGAATTTTGAAGTATTCAAGAGGCTACTGGTTTTGATTGATTTTGGTCTTAGTTACAGTACAAGCCACAGTAAGTAACTAAACCTAACTAAACAGAAGGGCAGATATTTTGGGGCCATCTTTACTTCATTTACATTGTGACAGTGATAGGACAACAGGGAATGGCATTAAAGGGGAGATTTAGGTTAGATGTGAAGAAGAAATTTTTCACTCAGATTGTGGTGAGGCACTGGCACAGACTGCCCAGAGAAGCTAGGGATGCCCAGCTTCTGGAACACACCTGGAGATGTTCAAGGTCAGGCTGGATGGGTCCTTGGGCAGCCTATCTGATGGGTGGCAGCTCTGCCTATGGCAGGGGGATGAAAATGGATAGAATTTAAGACCCCTTACAACCTAAGCCATTCTACGAGTCTATGATTTAACTGCAACACTAATCAAACTTGTAACTGAGGGCTATTGGTAATTTTTCCGAGTTCTCATGTGCAGGCTGAACTATGGATGTTATGCATGAAACATCAAGTCTTCAGATACATCTAAAACCTAATTAGCACAGATCCTTACTAAAAGGTTAGCACCAATGAAGATGCATTTTTTAACATGACCCTGGATTTCTATCTACAGAGCTCATAGGTGCTTGTACCTCCTACACCCACACTCAGATGGATAGTGCTACTCCGCATTCATTAAGTAAATGGACTTCATTTCAACACAACTTTTTTTTTCTTTTTTTTCTTTTTTTTTTTCTGTTGGGGACCAACAAGGGGCAAAGAATTAAGGGACAGATCCATAATGATTAGAATTTGTGTGCCAGGAGAGATACATACAATAGTACATCAAATAAACTACTGATTCTGCTAGCATAACTCATCCTAACTGATTTCCAACATACTTCTGTGGCAAGAAAAGTTTACTTCTGACAAATTACTGATTGTAATGTCTACTAAATAGTGAAGAGATATATAGTCTAGGATTTTAAAATATCTAGTCTTTGTAAGCTTCTGTCCAAACAGCTGAACTACAAAGAAATCATAAAACTTCTTCTGACTCAGCTTAAAAGCAAGCTTGGCTCACTATATATTTAATGTTATGAATATTCATTCTTTAAAAGCATTATGGAGAAGTAAAGCATTCAGTCCATGAATAAATGTAAGATCCACAACACCTATTAATTCCACAGGAAAACAGAAATTGCCACTGAATGGTAGATAAAGAATCTGATCTTTTTCATCTAAAACCAGATTGGTCAGTAATGAATATAAATGGAAGATGTGCTAATGAGACAGAAAATCGTGTTCCATTATGTGTTGTAAGTTTAGGTATAATCAGATTTTAAGATTAGTATTGAAGTTTGTCTTTAATATACTGAGAAAATCAAGATAGGTGGCATCCAATGACACAATGTCTCAGATTGAAAATGTGTAAACCATTTTACTGCATTTCTTCAAAGAATGGAGACTTTGCTACAGGAAATAATAATAAGCATAACGCAATAAGCATACAGTAACTCTTACCAAGCTAAAATCTACAACAAGTATTCAAAAAACAATTGGCATGTACAAAAAATAGACAATGTCATATTCAGAAATGCAGAGGCTTACGACAAATTTATAGAACCTCTCTCCCCATCCCATTTTGGCCGCAAATCCCTGTGTACTATTATTCGGGTGAGCATGTTTAGGCTACACTGGAAATGTCATGGTTTTATTAACCAGGCCAAACCAGGCCTAATCATGACAGGAAAAACAACAACAACAACAACAACAAAACAACAACAACAAAAAACCCCAACGAACTAATAATGAAAAAATCCATTCACCAATCTTAAATTTGCCTTTAGCAGATATTATTTCAGAGTGACAATATTAGTTACAAAAAAAAATTCATGCAATTCGCATTCACAGAATTCCTGTCTAAAACTGTCAGAACGCATTAGTCCTGTCTAGAGAGGCATTTTTCTTCTTACTTCTGATGAGTTGAACCAAGGGCATGGTGTGGCTATTTCCTTGCTGTCATAGATAATATGCAACAATACTAAAAGTACTGAATTAAAGAATCCCAGAATCTAGGAATGGTTGAGGCTGGAAGGGACCTCTGTCCATCTGGATCAATCTCTGATCTAGCAGGGGAAGTTGGAAAGGTGAAGACCTTCAGGAATGTAGGCACACAAACTCTCTGGGAGAGGGTTACCAGCATCACTGGTGAAATCAAAACATGGATTCCTTGTGGATGAGAGATGGACAATGACAGAACAGAAAGGTTACATGATGGAGGACTGAATTCTAGAGAAAAATTCCTGGGAATGGACTGGGTATGGCCTGAGTGAGGACACTTTATCTTTGGAAGAGTCATTTTCCCTCCTGCCCCTATGATTCATGTTTTTAATCACACAAAAACAACATCTGATCAGGTGACATTTCCATCTTTCCAGTGACAGGCTCCACTCTCTTCCTTCTCCATTTTAATTAAAACTGTCTACTGTGTGGTTTGCAAGGCAACTCTTCTTGCAGAAACAAATTCCCAACAGCTATGCCTGCTTTCATAAGACACCAGAAGTAACAGTATTTTATTAATCACAAATATATTCCAATGGTTATATTATTTATGGGAAAAGTTGAATCTGTGATTTTCACTTTCAGAACTTCACATTCAAATTTCCTTTTAGGAGAGAAAAGAAAATGTGTAACTTTGAAAACAAAAGAAAGAAGTAAAGGCTGTTTGCTGAATGGTTATCCGCATCTTTCTTCACAATCCTCAGTGTACCTCTCTTTTTTATATCCTCTGATCATTATCACACAAGTTTCTCTTCTTTCTCCACAAAAAGAGTATTTGAGTAAGATTGAAACAATCATAACAACTGTTACACATTTATCTTATGGCATCTCAATCTTCAAAGCAAGTTTCATTTAAAGGAGCTTTAAACATTAAAAAACATTAGAATGTTTTTTACCACAAATACTTTAAGCAGTTGACAGTCACTGTAAAACTAAACACTTTCCTTGTGCAAACATTTCATAACCCTACCTCGACTTATTAAAAGCTCAGCGTCACAGCAGATTCACTAGCAGCATTCATTCAATAGGGATATTCTATTTACATAAATAGTGCATTTTTATTGCATTCAAATTTCAGATGCCTTGCTTTATTAGATATGCTCCACTGAAATCACAGTGAGATGTACTCCATTATATTAATGACTTAATTTTGATAATCAACAACAGATTAACAACAGCAATGAAAAGAAGTTGCTATCAACTCAGTAATACAGTACTATTGCACATATATAAAGCTGCACTAAACCATTTTCATCGTTGTTACTGAATATTTTTAATCTATCTCAATAACAAGAAAACAACTGAGAACATATATAATACTGGATGTATAAAATCTTTGTGAAGAAAGGTATTGAGCATTCTTACGCACTGTTTGCCCAAAGCCAATCATAATTCCCAAACACCACTTTAACGCAGAGAACAAATAAAAGAGAAATAAACTTTCTGAAAATTTCAGATGATGCTTTTTTTCTCCTTGCAAAGTGCAGCCATAGCAGTTGTAACAATAACTTGTTTGAAATAGCTGATTTCAATTAATCCAGTGGAACCAAATTTCTCTTTTTTATTTTTAATACACCACTATGACATTTTCATTTAAAAATTTTAATAACATTTTTTTGACTTCTTAGAATTTCAGATCTGAAATTTCTATGAAAATTATCAAAACGCTTTTCTACTTTAAGTTTTTTTGTTGTTGTTGTTGTTTTAATCTTAGTTCCACATAGAAAATTGTTTTCAATACTGTAGGAAACGAAAAAGTCTTCTTAAATCTCAAATTATTAAGTTCTAGATTAAATCACTTCAACATGATCTTAACTTCTTGAAATTTCTGAAGGTGTTTGATCCTAGGAAGCAAAGGGAAAGATGGCTATTCTTCTCAGAGAATGGATCTATGCAAGGTGTAAACATGTCAGTGCTATCGTAAGTGATCTAGAAAAAGAAATTACTTAGGAGGAGGCAATTCAGATACTTGGAAATATTCAAATCAAAACCATTCAGCTAGATAAATGTAAAGCTGCCTTCAAAAGCTGTCATGATACTGAATGGCTAGGTAATAAAACAGCAGATTAAATTATGTGCAGAAAAATGTAAACTACATGTGAAGAAAGCAATTCTAATTATACCTGAATGATGGGAGATTGCATGACAGTTGTTTGCACTCTGTAATGTTACACAATTGTACAGTAGACAATTACATGCTAATGTAACTTCACTGCTCAGTAGTGAGCAAACAGGACCTACAGAGTCAACATAGGAAGTTCCACACAAAATATGTGAAGAATTTCTTTAAAGTGAAGGTGACAAAGCACTGGAACAGGTTGCTCAGAGAGGTTGTGGAGTTTCCTTCTTTGGAAATATTCATGACACATCTGGATACCTGCTATGTACTGCTAAAGGGAAACAGCTTTAGTAGAGGGGCTGGACTCAATGATCTTTTGAGGTCCCTTCCAGTCCCTGCTATTTTGTGATTCAGTAACAAGTCCAGAATGATTCGGAAGCATAACTGTGCTTCCAGTTACACAGCAAAGCTGTGTAAGTCCAGAGCATACTTGAACCTTGAACACCATCTGCAGTTACTTTGTCAATACCTTATTGTTCCAAATAAAATTGATAGCTTAGGAAGACAAAGACACTGGACAATCACTCGTGTGTACTGTTAGATTACTAGATGACTAGGATGGAAGGGAGTATTCTAGAGAAGGCTAGCTCTGAGGTAGGCCCACAAGGGAGGGGGATAGGAATAATCCCAATCTGTTCTCATATAGGAGCTCTGATACATAAAAGACTCAAAACCAGAAAGGTACTGACACATCAACCAGAGATCACAGAC